TTTTTTTTTTATTTTCATTTGCATTTAGTTTTTATACTTTATTGTTTTAAAAAGAAAAATATATTTTCTATATTTCATTTGATTTTCAGAAAATTTATTTCTTCTTTTCTTAATTAAATTTTTTCTTTATTTATTTTTCTTTAAAATTTTAGATTGTATTGTTTTAAAAATAAACAATTTTTGTTTTGTTATTTCCTTTAAAATTTAGCCACTAAGTTTGTATTCCTCTTTAAAACTATTTTTTTAATCCTTGGAAACATTTTATTTTCTTATTTTTATTTAAAAAAAAAAAAAATTAATTTAATTTTTTAATTTTTTTGATTTAAAAACTATTTTTTCTTTGTTTCATTTTATTTTTAGAAACATTTTTTCTTTTTCATTTAATTTTCATTTAAATTTTAGATTGTAATGTTTTAAAAAGAAACATTTTTTTTATTTGAAAGAGAAAAATATTTTTAATTTCATTTTATTTTTAGAGCCATTTTTTCCTCTGTTTCATTAAATTTTTTATTTTTTTATTTAATTTTAATTCAAAGTTTAGGTTGTTTTGTTCTAAAGAGAAAAAAAAATGTAATGTCATTTAAAATTTAGCACATTTAATTTTTTCTTGTTTTAAACTTATTTTTTTTTTATTCATTTTATTTTATTTTAGACATTTTATTTTCTTATTTTTATTTCTACAAAGGAAATTTTTAAATTTGATTTTTAGATTGTATTGTAAAAACAATTTTTTTATTTTATTTTTTAGAAACATTTTTTTTTCTTCTTTTGATTATTTTTTATATCTTTTTGTTTGTAATTTCATTTAATTTATTTAATTTAATTTTGTTCGCTCGCAATATAGTCTTTGTTTCATGAGCTGTGTGGCAGGTGCTGCCGTCCTATTGAAACCGCATATTGTCCAAGTCGATGCCATCTGATTCAGACCATAAAAAGTTCGTTGTCATGTCACGATAACTTCCACCACTCACCGTTACTGCGTTATCGGCTTCATTTACAAACCATCACACCACACAATGACAGGATGTTGTCAAATTTTGCTGACTCAGTTGACCGATGATGTGTACGCGTTGTTCAACTGAGTATCGCTTCATGACTAAGTTTTCTAAAGTCTGTAGTACCAATTATCTGAAAAAAGCGTCAGTACCAGTTAATGATGACATTTGATGTGTATGCATATGTGCTCCAAATTCATCCCGAAAGTGCACTAAACTGACCCGAAAAAGTCCCGAACTATTCTCGAATTAGTCCCGAAATCATGCCGAAAAAGTTCCAAACTAGACTCGGCGAAGTCACAAACTAGACAACTAGTACCGAAATGATCCGGAACTAATCCCAACCGACCTCCGAGTCTTGGTTTACGACGGATGGTTTACGCAAATTTTGTCTACACCGAAGCAAGAGGTCCCAAGCGAAAATAATTTTAGTTTTTTTTTATGTCCGCCTTGCTTTCCATCAATGCACTACCGTAGTGCATGTACCTAAAACTATGCAACGAAAATACCCATGCACAGGGTGAAAAATTTGCAGGGTGCACACGATGATTTTTTCATTCCGTTGTTCAAAAAATACTTTTGATGATGCATTTTCGAACGTTTTTTTGCAGTTTGCTTTAAATTTTAACAAAAGCAAAGATAAAAATTAAAAATTAACATAAACATCACAAATAAGTGCTGTGAAAGATCTGCATCACCCTTGAATAAACCCTATACGAGTAATTCAGGCAAATATATTTGCACCTATAGGTGCAATAACATAAATATAGGGACGCTTCTAGGCATACAGCTACAGTTGCTCAGCTATGCTCATTTCCTTCTCTTGCGTCCGCGACGCCTGGACAACGGGATGGCCGCTTTCTATCGTGCAGCTCGTTTTGTTTTAAACGTATTCTCAACAAAAGTAACCCAAGTTGTGGTTACACGCCAGGTTTGGGACCAGCTGGGTGAAACACAGTATCATTAAGGAGGTCAATATTGCCTTGGGCAATACTAACTTCTTTTGATTAATCCCATTTTCACGACGGCCGTGGCGAATATTTATAAACTATGGTTTAAGGATAAACACTTGGTATGTTCGTATCCTTCAAGGATTAGATGCTTCTGTCTGGTTGATGTACTCGGGTAGGGTAATGCGGATATCACCGTCATCGAAGAAATTCTATGGGCACGGCAAAATGGATAAAGCATTCGTCCCCTTGACGTAAGGGAACGCAACTTCGGTTTTGGATTCCTCATAGGATAGAGACTTCGCCGTCGAGTGCTGTCATTCAACCCAGGCGATACGCGTTTAGCAGCAATCCGCATCAGAGCGATGTTCTTTAACATCTTGTTCCTTTGCACCCACACCCCGGTTGAAGATAAGGAAGAGGTGTCCTACGAACGCTACCTGCGTCACGATATCACGATCTTGTGCGACGATTGCAGTGCCAGGGTGAGTAAGAAAGGGATCTTTGGTTCCACCATCTGAAAATTCAGCCTCCACGATGAAACGTCTAATAACGGACTGAAGCTGATCGCCTTTACCCTTCTACGTGACTGTCTCCTGGTCGAAAAACGGGAAGCCAAACCGATCATGTTGCGATAGACGGAAGACACGTTTTTAGTATTCTAGACGTACGTACGATTCAAGGACCAGCTCTTGAAATGCTAAGCGATGGATAGTGCAGCTGCATATTTGCAGAAACTACAAGGACTCCGCTTGTTTATGGCCTATTCTTACACTAAGTCACGAACATACATATGTATGTACGCACATTCTCCTATGATCATTTAAGCCCAATATTTGAGATTCCATCGAGGTCCTTTTGTGCAAATTTCGTGCTACTGGGTACAATCATTTTTCGTCGGAAATACCCATGTCTTTTAGAATACCGCTAGTCTCTTGGAATACATCGTAATAAGTAGGTCGCTCTGTAGAAGCTAATATAATGTGCCGAATTGGCGCTCTTCATCGCATTTAACTCTGCCTTAAAAAACGATACAGTGATGAAAGGAAAGATATTTCTATCCATCCCTGCAACCCAGGAAATACCAGGATCCACATCAAGGGAGGAACGAGACTGGAAGCAGAGCAGTTCTATGAGCGCTTAGAGAAAGCGCCTGCCCCGCGACCATGTTAAAATTCTGCTTTGCGACTGTAACGCTAAGGTGGTCCAAGAGTCATATACAGCAAAAACGCTTAATGTTGCTGGTGTATGCAGATGATATCGACATCGTCGGCCTGAGAACCAGGGACAATAGTGCAGCATTTTCCAATTTTGCAAACTAATCGAAAGAGGTTGGTCTAGTGGTGAACGAGGACAAGACAATGTACCTCATGGCAACACATAAAAAGTCTTAGCGTATTGGCACCCACGTCACTGTCGGCAGTTATAACTTTGAAGTAGTGAAGGACTTTGCCTAACTAGGATCCAGCACCTAACGCCACCAGCAGTGTCAGCCTTGAGATGCAGCGAAGAATAACTATTGCCAACAGGTGCACCCTTGGCCTCGGTAGGCAATTGAAAAGCAGAGCCCTTACTAGACGAACAAAAATTATGCTCTACAAATCACTAATCATATCCGTCATTTTATATGGCGCAGAAACATGGACGATGTCGAACAAAGATGAAAAGGCTAGACTTGTTCAAGTCTCCTAATAAAAGCGGCAATACTGCTGCAGTAATAACTGTTCACCTTTGGCCGATGAAGTTGAACGAATAACAGACGCGTTCAGGTAAGCTCATTTAAACTGAAGTCATTGTTGCTGGTACTTCAAAGTTCTATTATGATTAACTTTAATTAAAGTTGCTATTCATATATGTATCTATATGTAATCGACACAGTCCGCCATCTACAATTAACACGAGATAATGTTGGTGCCATTTTAGCTACAAAGTTATTAGCAACTACACCATCGCCATACCATTTTCATTTTCGCTTTTATTATACGACTTTTTGCTAAATATTTAAACACGTTTTTGTTTATAATTATTATTATTATTATAATACATATGTTTATGAATTTTCATATACACCTTATGATTCATTTAATATTCATTTCATCGGAATTTTTCTTTCTTTATTATGTATTCTTGTTTCATACATACAACATAATAATAGTAAATTTATTTATGTATAATTGGAAAATATTTTATTCGTAATTATATTTTCGATTAAAAAATAATTTTTTTTTTAATAAATTTTTTTTTTATAAATTTTATATGCATACATATACATACATATTTAAAATAATAATAATTATAGTAGTTTATTAATAAGTGTGAAATGAGAAATTTATAACTCAAATACATTATTTATTATAAACAGCATACTTTCGTTCTCATCAACATCATCATCATCATCATCATTATGATCATCATCACACCTTATAAACGTTGCGTTCTAATAGTAAAAAATGTTCTTGTGAATATACGCACTAACCGAAAGTGAATTTCAATTTGGAATTGCTAATAAGAGATTTGCTTGACACATTGATAAATTGACTTAGCCAAAAAAAACTAAAGAAAAACAAAAATGCTACAATTTTTACACCGACCGAGCGTCGCAGCGACGAGACGAGCCAAACAACCAACTAAGTGCCTGCAACAAGCATGAGCCCATAGAAACAATCACTGCAATTTCAGACGGTCACATCGCAAATGAATATTGTATGTATGTTTGTAATGTTAATAGCTGTTGCTTGGAATTTCTATTGTTGTGGCGAATGCGATCTCAGCGCAAAATTCCAACAACCTTTGTAATTGTCATTACTCATTAAACTACACAATGCAATGCATATTTTAAATTTGTATTTTTTGTATTTTATTGTTTACTATTTTATTTTTGAAAAAGTTTACGTTTGAACTTTCATTTAGTATAGATTATTAATTTGTTTACTGAATTTGCGGATTTTACTTTTGTGTTCTCTTTTTCGAGGAGTGAACAAACGCAAACGTAAAATGTTGATGTGGATGCGGGAGCAAAGTGAAATCTGGGTGTGTTAACAGAATATACATATATTTAGGCAGCTGTGTATTAGAAAGTAGTAGTACATTGCTACTCGAGTATTGCTGCTGATTTTGGTGACGAGGGAGCTGAAAAGGGAGCGTTTGTTTGTTTTCTGTTTTTTTTTTGTTTTTACTTTCTTTCTGTTTTCGATTTTTAATGTGACTTTATTTTAATCTATTTTCATAGCATTACCATCATTATCATAATTTTT